TATATATATATACACACACACACACACACACACACACACACACGTGTATATATACACACACACATATATATCTATTGATGGATAGATAGATGGATAGATATATAGATGGATATATATATATCTCTATCTATCTCTTTAGAGATAGATATATGGATGGATGGATATAGAGTACCGTGTTTTCTCCTTTACTTTGAAAGCCAACACCTTTTTAAATGTAAACCTAACATACAAACTGCATTTTGGTTTTTTTAGAACCTGCACTCTCCTTGATTTATCTGTAATTTTGATTACTCTTAATTCCTATACTTCTGCCCTAATGTATTATATAGGTTACTGGAGCTTAGCATTAGCGATTTGCTCCTTTTAAGATGCGTAACTTAAAGGCAAGCCAACAATGTCTGGCCATTTTAATAGCTTTAACCCTAATGTTTGTATTCCGAAAAAGAAGACTAGGGTTCATTAGTGTGCCCTGCATGGTCATATTCAAATTGTGTTTGCCCTTAACCTTAGCTTTCTGTGTGTTTGAGTAAGAATGGGTGGCTCTTTATTGACTTGTCAAGCTGTTGGTTTGCATTTCAGGCCAAGCATCTCATGACCCAATCCATTTATTTCACTGTTTTGTGGTGGGGAAACAGGTAAAGGAATCCTGCTGAAAATCCCTCCTTCTGCACGTTTTTATGAATAAGGCTAGTGTCTGTAGCAGTTAGGGCAGCGTGACCAAATCCTCCAGAAAACGTAATGCTAGCAGCATGGGCCTATTGTGGGATACAGCTGTGGGCGGTGTTGGTTACTTTGCTAGAGATTGCTCATTCAACAGAAGCCTATGAAGGAGAACCTGCAGTGGAATTAAATGAGGAGGAAGAAATGATACTGCAGGGAGAAGAATGTGGAAGGGTAAACCACTGTTTGGGAAAAGTTAAACAATGGTTCCCTGGCAGCGACAGTCTGTTTATTGCTGTGCTAATGGGCCTCCAAATTATTTTACAATGTGGAGTTTAGTGGTTTATTACCAAGAAATAAAAACTGTTAACAGCTGGATAGCTGCATTAAAGACTGCTGAGTGACTGTATAAAGCAAAAAAAGTGGTAGCAGTGTAGAGCATATTGGGCGAGAACTCATTTTAACCCTTTGAGATATGAGCTTTTATCTACAATATAGGCAATAAATCAGAGTTTTTAATCGGCAAGGAGACCTAGGATAAAAGAATTCAGTGAAATCTGATTTCTGCTTTGAATTTTATGATGAAACAATGCAATGAGAAACAGCCTTCGGCAGGTAGAAATAGGTTGAAGGCATTTATTGTCTCTAGTTCTTTAAAAGCCACAGAAGTTATTAATGTATCCACCTCAAGAAAGCAGGCGGCACAGGAATTTAATTCGAATTACCTCAAATAAATAAGCAGTTATACAACTGTTTACTTGTGTAATTTTCTTAGCTGGCAAACCATGGTCTTGTGGCAGGCCTGAAACTGTGTTGCTCAGGTGCAGGTGAAACCGTAGAATTCGCACAATCCTTGATAGTCTCTGGGTCACATTTACCAGTTTTGCCAACATGGAAATTTATTCTCAGTCTACATGCGAGTCTACATGTAAGACACAGTAGTTATGTACGGCTGCGGGAGGAGCCACAGCACCAGGAAACCGCTTGCCAGGCCCCGAAGATTAAGTATTAAGTGTCTTCCTTTTTGCTCTTTTTCTGGGATTCCTTTTTTAGTAACTGAGTCTTTTTAAAGTAATCGTAAAGTCAAAATGTTTTTTTAAGACATTTCAAATTCTGATTAAATCATTTACAATGGATGCTGCTCTGTGATGTTTAAAAGATTGTTTTCTGCAGAATCAGCTGGTCTCCTGAACACAGGCCCCGATATCCTGTTTTAGGGTGGTTCCTGTCTCTTGCAGGGTGCTAGTAGGTTGTATGTGTCTCCACAAACACACAAGCGCACCAAGGCGAGCCACTTCAGTGCTCTCTGCTTATCTTCCCCTCCTTCCTTATACTTTGTTTAAACTAGTAGATGGACAGCTGCTGCAGACTGTTCTGCCCCTTGAGATCTTGTGCTGGATAGGAAGTTTAGGGAATCCGAGCTGAGTTGTAGTCCGCTGCTTGGAAACATGATGACCGAAAATGTTTGAAAAACGAATGTGATATACTTTGCAGGACAATGTATATTTGTTTGATCTGGATTTATTTTTGAAAAAAAGATTGAGCGTAAAGGCCCCGTTTATACCCAGTGATGAGTAAATGCATGTGAATGCATTTTCGTTCACGTGCGATTTTTGTTGCTGTTGTCGCACATCAGCCTATTCAATCAATGGGCTTCTGAATGCGCAACAATAGCGTAATAGTAGCTCATGCAATATTTTCAGATGCAAGTGTTCCACTTTTTTCCTGCGTGATTGTCGCACGTCCACGCGCTGGAAAAACACATTTTATCAACGGTATATGTTGTGCCATTAAATAATGGCACTGCAAGTGCGTTGCACGTTTTGAACATGTTTCGGGAAGCATTGGCAATTGGCAGGAAAAATACCAACCAACTGACTTTTTTAGTTTGGTGAGAGGTGACTGATCTCACCTAAAGTAGCCCATAAATATTAAGTGTTGCTCATTGATGGCTATAAGCACCCCTGCATGAATTATCACAGCTCCAAGTGTTGGATGGCTTGACATACTGTATATTGTAGCAGTTATTACAATATACTGTGGAGAAAACAAAGCAGGGAATTCCATTTATATTTTAAACAGTTTATGACCTAAAACATTCATAGTAATCCCAACATTATAGTGGTATCCCTTCAAATTGATTAAAGCATTGGAGGGAGAGTCACAGATGTAAAGCTGAATGTTCTGTTTATTCAGATTTTTACAATGTAAGGTATTCTAAATAGTGTACAGGTTTGAGCTATGTTTACCTATGTGACCACGTTAGCCTGGATCCTGGCCTGAAGGGTCTGTATATTAAACTTTGAGTAGACTCTACTTGACACTACTAAGGAAGTCAGCAGGAAACATTTTAACTGCTGAGGTTACAGTGTTTACGCGTTTGCCTTTCTGCCTGCCAGGAATCCTTGCTTCTAGAATCGTTTCAGGAAGGAAGTATTGAATTAGCAAATATTTGTAATGTCTTTAATGTAAGAAGCTAAAAGACTTAGACACTCCTTCATCTTGGAGATAAAAGTTATCAGCACTAAAGTTGGTCTCTATTAATGTTCGTTCGAGTAGTTCCCACATTTTGTTTCAAACTCCAGACTCCATATTTTACTGATTTATGATGTCTACACTTCTTTGTGTGTTTAATTCTTTTTATTCACATTGAATACAAATTACTTTGCCTTTTCTCAATGCATAACACTATGCCTTCTTTAACAGCAGGCAGAAGAACAATGCTGATTTCATGTGGTCCAAGCCCAATTGTTTTTATTACTGCTTTTGCATATATAAATGTGATTTGTAACAGAATAACATAACTTGTAGACTCTCTGCATCTGTGTATGTGAATGTTGCATTTCATTTCATTAACATTTTTTTTTGCTTGTTCTTTCTGTCCTGCATTGTTTACAAGCACTCCATTTTGCTTAAGTGATCATTTAAATTGTGTGCTTTTCCAATTTGGCACTCATTGGCAGGTAAATTCTTTACAGAAAACTGCTGCAGAATTATGTAATATAAAATTTAAGCTATTTGGTGTCCAAAGTAACTTTTTTTTATAGAACTATTGGAAGATTTAGTTGTACAATATTAGCACTGCCAGGTTTGTCTCTGTTGCACACAGTAACTATAATTTCCTATAAATGATGTTTGAAATAACCTTACAGTGCTACCTTTCATGTGTGATACGATTATCCTATTTGTCTGGTTCCTGTTGATGCAAATTCCAGGGTAATAGCACCAGCATGCACTTTTTGTTCAGCCATAACATTCTTATCTTCTGGGACTTAAAAAGGGAACAGTAAAGGCGCATTACTTTGTTTTGTAGACATCATCCTAGACTTAAAGAATAGTTATTCCCACCTGTATATCATGGTGACTGTACACTTTAAAGAGTAGAATAATTTTGCAAAGGGTTAAAACACTCATTGACATATCATGTTTGTTCCCAGTAACAAGTAAGCCTACATGCATTAGAAAACATTTGCTGGATTGGGGAAGACTTGGTATATTTTCTGGGAACTTGACAAGTTGTACCAGAGCAGTCTGGCTGTTCATCCTCAGGGGAAAGGTAGATTTTCTCACCCAATCACAGTTTTCCCTGGGACCTGCCAGCACCCTGCAGTGCTTTACTTTTTCATAGGACTAATTTAACTTGCAAATGTTATATTGGGTAAAACAAAAAAAGAGGAAAGACTATTTGGCAGACAGGTCATGCACGCTTGGCTTTTTTCTAATGTCTGTAAGATTAAGTGCCTATTCACCGTATGTTACTGTGTTGCATTGACATTTTTGAATGGCACCCTAACACACTAACCCGACGGACCTCAAGCGCACATTCATTGCAATACATTACTGTGTTCTGTGTTGAGCTGCATCAGGAAAAAATGCTAAATGTCTGGGGGTTTTATTCCATTCTGCTCAGTTGACAGGCCATTCGTTGGAATGGGCTGCCTTAACCTGGCACCCGGTAAATCAAGAGAGCTAGCAATGATTTTTCAAATTATAAATATATTTATTAATATGTGTATGTATGCTTGTATGTGTGATTATTATAATGGTTATATTTAATGCAGTTTACAAAATGCACTACTTTTCTTTTTTTTGCGATAGCCTTACTTTAGTTCTTAGTTCAAATAGCCAAATTCATATGTCAGTTTCAAGAGGAATTCACACACACAGAATAATAAAGGGTATGCTGTCTAAAAGATAGTAGAACTAGAAAAGATGGTACATGCATGAATCTATAACCAGCCTTTATAGCAGGGCGCACATTGGGAAGGCTTACAACAATACAAAACACACAAATTCCCCAGCCTCAACCTGCCAGCCAGCCTGCAACCAAACAAATAGCCCTGTCAACAGTATGCGTTAAAATCAGAGGTTTTAGTTGCACCTCTGATTTAGTTTGTGTTTTGTATTGTCTAAAAGATAGCCACATCCCTGAAATCTTGATATTGATTTTATATGAAATTATGTATTTTTTGTTTTTGTTTTGCAACCACTCACCCACCAATGAAGTGCTTTGGTCAGCTCTGCTTTTATAAGTTAAGTTGGCCTTACATTTTAGATGGGTAGGTAGATCTTTATACAAGCATTCATGCAAAAAGTCTTGTCAACATGTGATAATGCCATCAGAGACATGACAAATGTTGTTCAAAATGTTGTTTGGTATTTAACATTTGATTTTGGAAATTAATGGTGTTTCTTAAACGAAAACCACATTCCCTCTTAAAGTTTTGTATGAGAAAAATGTTCCAGACTGTTCCCTTGATTTTTTTTTTGTAATTTCACCACTACAGTAGAAAGCGATTGAGTTCACCCCATTTAACGATTAGAAAGTCGAAGAATCCTTCCGAAAACAAATTTTTCCAAACTAAGTTCTATTGGTGTAAAGCCAGATTCAGAATAAAAGGTTCACAGACCTGCCCTTGGCCTTCTTCAGCAGTGCGTGTTCTATGGATTTCTTGAGTAGGTACAGATGGGTTAGTAACTGATTGGACAAAGTAGTTGCATCTCTCTGTGCCCTTGTGGAGAGCTCCTCAAAACACACGCTGATGGTGAGGGTTGAGAACGGGTTGTTAAAGCAAGTACAATATTAATGGGAAGGAAACTGGAGAAAAAGAAGAATGGAAATACTGTTCATAGCATTCAGGTTCATCTCTCTTTTTACTTGGCGCTCATAACAGTGAAAACAGTGAATATCTGCACATTTACTGTTTGTGCCAGTTCCCTAAGCTTGCTCTATTATTGACTTTAGATGAAAATATCAAGATTTCATCAATGGTTTTTTTTTTTTTTTTGTTCTTTCCTAGTGTCATTAGCAAAGTGGTATCTGCCCCAGATGCTAAGGCAACCACAACACCGTCCTTGCCTAAATCGCCTCCTCCTGCACCTTCTCCAGCACCTGTGCCAGTTCTTGTTGTGCCTCCTCCAGTCCAACCTCCTCCTGCCCCCGCAGCTGCCTCACCCGCTCCAAATCCACCTCCTGCTGCCCCTGGACCAAACACAGGAAATGCGAAGGCACCTTACAGGAGTGTTGTCACAGAGACGGTCAGTACCTATGTGGTAAGTGTGATCAGGATTATAATATTTTTCTTTACAGCATGTGTTTATTACTATTATACTATTATACATTCATAGTTTTCACTGTTCAGTAACATTTTCTAAAGCTGAGAATTTAGCTGGTTTCCTGTAATAAACAATTGTAAACATTAAGCGCTGAAATTAGAAAGGAGTGTTCCAAACCAGGACAACTGATATATCTTACTTGGATTAGGCTGAGACATTTATAAATATTAGCCAGTTGGCTTTATCCAATCTGCTTTTTTTCTTTTCTTAGTATTTTGCACTTTTTTTTTTTTTTTTTATGTTGGAAAGTGTTATGTTTTTGGTGCAGCATTACGTTTTTAGTGCTGACGAGTACAAAGTGTAAATGGTTGACAAAAACAGGCTAGTGTTTCAAGCGGGATCGACAAATATAAAAAGATTGGATATTTCTACTCCAAACCCCAGACCAGTGAAGGACACCAGGTTTTTTCACACATCCAGTGACCCAGAAGGAGGTGTGAGTATTTGAATGGGGGTTTACTGCATTGATAGGCCTACACTGCGGGCAAGTAATGTTCCCCCTGCCCCAGTGGCAACACTAAAATAACCCCTACATGGTTGGTCTTAGTACTTTGCCAGGATATTCTCCTCCTTTTAAACAAGAAAGCAATGCGTCTGATGCCTTTTTTGCTCACATTGCTGGAAAACATTGGGTTGGGGTAGGTCAGTATTACTGTTGCAAGGATATGTATTGCAGCTAAGGCAATGGTCTAACAGAATTGAAGTGGTGAACATTACTTCATCAGAAGGACTACTTTCCAGTTTAGTTTTACTTGTCCTTTATTGAAAGGGACGACGATGTCATAAAGTAAATGGAAAGTTACTCAGTAACAACTTTTTATTCCCTTGATGTTATCAGCGAGTTGAATAGGAGTGTTTGGCTAATAAGTAAAAATGCAAAGTTGGGAACTTAGCAAGTCTCATAAAATGTACTTTCTTCTTTAAAGAGAACTTGTCCTGATTTACATAAATATGTTACATAAAAATTGCAAGTATTCAAACCCTTGTTATTTTTTTTTGTTGGCTCTCCAACTGAATCTGTATGCAAATATTCCAGCCACATTTACGTTTCTAAGGTTGAGATGTATTGTATAGTTCTGTATCCTATAAGTTTTAATGCAAAAACAAACAAAAAATGTACACTAACAAACCACATGAAAATTAAAATACAATCAGCTTCTGTTTTCTATGATAAAATATAGTAGGAAGCCCTGGTTCTTGTTAAATTTACTGTAGGGAGGAGGGGGTCACATACTCATAATGTAATACTGAGAAGATGATGTTTTTTAAGGCTAGGCAACATTTTAGTTACTGTGAAGGGTACTCTCCGCTGTCGCCATACAGCCTTTCTGCAGCGTTACTTGCTAAATATTCATTTGTGGGTTGCTTGTTCCCATGTAGTGTTCAGAAAGTTTGTCTGTCGATGGCACCGTCCTGCTGTAAGGGTGCCACGTTTTGTGAAAGTTCACTTGTCCATGTGTGCAAATTACTAATAATGATGAATGGAGAATATTATAAAAACAATAAAACCTTTTAATGATGGGAATTGTAGACTTACTATATCTGCACGCATCACTAACAAACAATAAACTACTAGACAATGACAGGTATAGGAAAGCAAATCTGTGTTCTGATGACCTTATGCAGTGCAGCAGATGTAATTGAGGTATATTCCCTCCAGCAATAACCAAAACTGCTAAGATAAGACAATAGGGCTAAAAAGAAAGCTAACATTTTTTGTAACGATTGATCAAAACTGCTTATGGAACAACACTCATACCTCTGACCACTCCAATAAAAGGGAGGGGCCAGATGTTTATTCCCCAGTAATGGGATATGCCTTTTCATCTTTTTACGACTTCCATCACACTCTAAAGCTGGCCATATGCTGGCCATCTATGGTCAGATGGAAAAAGTGCAACAGATTCCTCCATCTACGCTAAACTGTGTGGATGGGGAAATGTTCCACTGAGCCAAGCTTCAGTATCTTGTTTGTCAGCCCCTCTGGCTGTCAAACTACCTGAACAATCTGATTGGATGCAGGCATTGTTCAGGTATTTTGGCAGCCAGTAGGGCAGACTAGGAAGATGCTGAAGCTTGGCCCAGTGGGAGATTCCTCCATCCACACAGTTTAGCGTAGATGGAGGAATCTGTTGCACTTTTTCCATGTGACCATAGAAAATCTGCAAATAATCTATAGGTGTATGGCCAGCTTTACCCTGCTGTAGACACTTCTCTTTGGACATATGCATTTGGCAGGTTTTGTGGGTGTGAATTGTTTGAAGGCTCTCTGCGACTGGTATTCACAGCCTCTGGGAAGTTTCACAGAACGTCTTCCCTGCTCCAAGTCTTAATCATGGGATCATTCTTCGCTCTCTGGCTAAGGTTTCCCCCCATCACTTCATGACTGTGTGTACAGTTCGCTGGATTGTAGCAGATCAGACCGCTTGTATTCCCATATCCTAGTTCAGGTTGACAGGACCTGCAGGATGTTTTTCTTGTAAGGTTCTAGTGACGCCACTAGGTGTCCTAGTGGACAACGCTGCTTATCCTGCTGTTTTTTCATGTTGCTGCACCAGTATGGAATGGTTGTCTTCCACTATTGTCTATTTTACTGGGGAGTATTTCTTGCACCCCTTTTTCCCCCTTGGTCAGTCTCTGACTTTAAGGTCGTTCCATTGGGATTGTCATCAACTCCTTATGTCCTTGATCATCCCCTTGGGATATTATGCTAGATAGTTTGGGGTCTGTCATTGGCATCCCTACTACTACTTGAGATAACTTCACTGATCCCAGATGACATTTTAAGTCTTGGGCTGTTTGTCATCTTTAGACCAGCTTATTGTCCAATTTTGCATGACAATTAGAGGCTGGATTATGTAGGAAGCTGGCCATCAATGGGTTTTCTGTTTGCCAGTGTCCAAACCTCCTGTAGATGGTATATTTAACTCAAATGCCTATGATTTACCACCTGGTGTCAGGATCTTTCTCTTTCAAAAGGTAAATCTAGTCTGCCTTCAAGCCACTCATTCACCTTGGCTTTTGTCCTGATATTTTTCTATACCAAATAGAAATCGATGTTTTACTATACGTTTTCATGCCGTTTGATAGCATATGATGTTTATTTTAGGTTGTTCACTGTAGATTGTTACAACATATTTTTCTATTTGTAGATTCGTGATGAATGGGGCAATCAGATCTGGATCTGTCCAGGATGCAAAAAAGCAGATGATGGTAGTCCAATGATTGGCTGTGATGGATGTGATGATTGGTACCACTGGTAAGAAATTGACCATTGACATTGTTAATAAAATGAAATAACTTTCCATATGGCATACTTTGATCTGGCAAGCCACACATTTTCATGCCTCCAAAAAAACATACTTAGCCAGTTTAGTTTTTTACGCAATATTGATGCCCTTTGGCTGACCCTGTGCTTGCTGTGTTTTAATCTTCATAAAAATAAATTATGTGCATTCTTCAGATTCAGGTATTAGCAGATGTCTGTTTAGAGACAATAAATAGACCAGGTTTTGCAAGTCATTTTCTTCCAGGTTAAGATTTGGTAAATTGCTCAATGTTCAAATGGCTTTTGGTCATAACGTTCCATTTAAAAACATAGCGCATGTTACGCATCTTTATATTTACTGATAATGGCAAGAAAGCTAAGAGGCTTTGTTTATCTGTACTGTGCATAAACGAAGTAATACTGATTGACAGGAAACTTCACACATGCTGAGATTGACCAGAGATCATCACTGTTGCTTCCTAATTTAGCTTTGTGCTTAGTACAGAGTTGCTGTACTTTTGTGTCTCATTTTTAACAGGTCGTTACTCCTGCGTTTGAATAATCCATTATAATTATTCTCTTGAACAATTCATGTTTATAATGTTAAGCTACTCATACACATTTGATAGGCTTGTGAAGTAACATGTCATTTCAAACTTCAATTGCCTGAGAGAGATTTTTTTTTTTTTTATATATACCAAAGATCTTGCATAGACAGACTAACATTAGTTGGAAAACTGTAGGGCTGGAGTTTGTTGGCTATTGTTCTTTGAAAGGCCTTTCTGCACATCTACTTTTCTGTCTCAACATAGTCAAAAGATCACATGCAGTACATACATAGATTCCTGAAGCAGGACCCTACGAATTCCTGAGACAGGAATCCCAGAAATGTCATTTAGAGGTGGCTGCTGTCACCCTTTCAAGTTAATAACCAGGTGACAACGGCCGCATCTGTAAGCTGTACTCTGCATGTAATCGTATGTGATATGATTACTTGCAGTTAAAAATAGATCACTATCCCTGGATGTACGATTGAAACGTCCAGGAATAGTGATCTATTCCAAATGGGTGGCAGTGGCCATTTCTAAACTGCATATTTGGGGTTCCTGTCGCAGGAATCTGAAAACGCACATTTTCCCTATAATGTGAATGTAGCCTTAATCCTAATATTCACTTTCACAATGATGGGAATTGATGAAAAGTGGAGTAGACAGAATCTGGATCAGTTGCTTATGGCAACCAGTCAGCTTCTATCATTCATTTTCAAACCTTAAATGAGCAAACTGAAGATAGAAGCTGATTACTTGCCATGGGTTACCGCTTTAGATCCTGTTTGCTCCAGTTTTTATGAATTCCTCTCAATGTGTGTTGCTCTGTCATATAAAAAGACAAAGAGCAGTCGGTATGGATTCCTGTAATAATCTGTTTGCGTTTGCTTACTCTCAGTTAAGTTGCCCTGGGCCTACTGCTCTTGCACATCATTACTGTTATTTGTACTCTTTAATTGAATAGGGCCTAATGACATTAGAGGCATGATATGCAAGCTCAATAAAGCTTCTGTTAAGTGCAAAATTTCACAAAAGATTTTTGGCTTGTTTTTTTCATGATTCATTAAAGCCTTACTCTAGTCAGTTATAAAATAATTGTAGTTGTCCCTTTCGACTGCTTCGGTTGTGACAACTGGTTCCCCTATGCCATACTCTTTGCCGGATTCTCACCTGTCTTCAGAGGCGTATGTACAGAAAATAACACCTATGGCAAGCACTGAAATTGTGCCCCTTATCAAAATCTGACACCCATATTTTAGATTGATGTAAAGGGGAACCTTGATATTATGTTACAGCTGAGTGTCCCCTTACATCGGTGTCCCCAGAGACCCCCTTTTCATCAGAGTTCTGAGGATATATTGGGGACTCTGATGTAAGCGGGGACTCTGGGGGCTCAGTGTTCAGAGTCCCCTTTGTGTCAATATCCCTCCTTCCATCAGACCCTGATGTAAGAGGGGACACTGGGGATGGGGTCGGGGGGATGCTGGGAAGAAATGAGTCTGTGCTGCTGGAGGGTCACAGGCTATGTAGCTCGCAGGGGAAGAGTCCCAGTAAACCGCCAACGTTTTCATGCTGAGAAGTGCGAGGACCAGGCTGTCCTAGCAAATAACTGTCAGGGGTTGAATAATGGCAGCAGCATTCTGTCTCTGTTGGTCGGCAAATTTTCTTTTACCCACGTAGCGCCCCCCCC